AACTAACCTATTAACTAATACTTTTTATATCTGGAAGTATTTTTTTTGTAATTATTTTATAAAAAATCCGTTAGCAAAAATTGTGTCCGCAAACGCAGGCTTGCTTGATTATCGCTCTCTTTTTTACACCTTTTGTGTTTAGCTGATTGCGTCAGGTAAGAGTGGAGAATATATTCACCTGAATGAACAACAACAACTTATATATATTTGTAGATCGGTTAGTTATAGTAACGCATGCATATATTTTTTGTGATTAATGCTCATTCGTTATAACGCATACATACATAATTCCTTATTAATTTTTTTTATTTTCTATCTCTCTCTCTCTCTCTCTCTCGCTTTCGTTTACACAGATGTATGGTCGCTATACCAAAGATTTAGGAGAATTTGCTAAAGATGAAGCCAGAAAACTCAAATTACTCGAGAAACGCCGAAAACAAGAAGACAAACAACGAAACAAGGTAAACAAACAGAAAAGCATACAAATACAACTTTTTTCGATGCAATTCAATTTCATTAATTCAACTTTTATTAATTACGTTTATTTAACTACTTACCTTGCATGCAACTCTTATTAATGCAAACAAATTCTATTTATCTGCTCTTGTGTCACAATAAATTACTGCAATTATGTAAATGAGAATAACGATTGCGAAATGTAATTATTTAAGGTAATGTAAATATTTACATTGAAATTTCTTACTTGCAAAGTAGACCGCGCTAATGCAAAAGATCAACACAAAAGGCTTGCGAACGCGACCTGCATATTTTATGCTAATTTAATTTGGCTATACATATTTATTTACATTATTTTATAAATAAGCAAGCACGACAAATTGTTTCGCCGTTTGCAAGATTAGAGAATTTTTTTTTAATTTTACACTCCGCTACAGTTAAATAGGCACTTAATTGGAGGGATAAGAAAAGCTTAATTTTAATTTTATTTTAGAAAATAACACTGGTCAACAGTAGTTTTGGTGCAGAGGAGCTGCAAGTATTTTTTTTTTTAAATCGTCAAAATCATGGTGATGGAGAATTTAGGTGCGGCAGAAAGAAATATTTTAACTTTTACGGCCGGAACTGCACTAAATAACGTCATAATAAGTCATTTCGGGAACATTTTTAGAACTTAAGAACCAATAAAAGATATATTCGAAATAAAAGTAGATTAGAGATTATGTTCCAGGTACGGTCCAGGACGTACTGATTTTTCAAATACCGTACTGATTTTGTTAATTTCTTCAATCAGTACGCCAATGTCGTGATTTTTGAAAATTTGTACTAATTTGTACTGAATTTTCAATCCTGAGCATACAAATTCGTAATAGGGGTCTTCCCACCCACCGAGCTTGGTACTCGGTGTTCGGTATTTTCTTTTTAAGGTTTTTACATAACGTTAGAAAATCGTTAAACTGTACATACCTACTGTAAAAGTAAGAAGAAATAATCTAATGATAGTCGACATGTTTCGGATAATGTTTGATAAGTGAGTTGTACGTACCAATCGCGATAATATGAATAAAAGAGTTTTGCATACAACACATCGAGTAACATACCCGTTTTATCAAGTTCTTATCCTTTCAAAGCTTTTTCGCACTTGAAAAAAGCTAATTTAAGCCCTGAGGAAATATGGATAACGTTTTTTAATAGTAGTACGTTTCTGCAGATTGAAAAATATCTAATTTTGTTTTTTTTTCAATACCACACTCAAACGAAGCAACTGAAAGGATCTTAAGTATAAAATTTGCTTCCTGTCGCAAAGAGAGAAACCGACTTCGTATTAAAATTATTGAAAGTGAACTCCAAATTAAAAGTAATTTTAATATGCATTGTAAAGAAAGTGGAAATGATCTCATTCCCAGCAGGAGCAGTGACGGTCACTTGTCCTAGTGACGTGACCGTCTCGCGTGCCCGCTAAGTTCGGCACATTCTGCAATCACATTCTTAATAGTGAATCAAAAATGCTCCCAGAAGTTTTGTGTACGTGTGCTTTTTCGATTAAAAAAAGTTAGTTTCCTTTTTTCATTCTTTTTCATCATTCTAATGTACATACATATATCCATAACGTGCCATAAGACAGTCTCAATTTCTGAGAAGGACGATCAATCGACAAATTCGGAAAATCAAAATAGGAATAAGTATGTATTTTTTGCTCGCGGCGCTTCAACAGTCGCAATGGCCGACAAGGCAAGGCTCTGCTCTGGGCAGCGGAATTTTTATTCCATTTTTAATGTATTTACTTATTAGTTACAGATTTTATTAATATGTTTTTATTGTAATTTTAAAATGATATTGTTTTAATTCGAATATATCTTTTTAATTTTATTATTAAATGTTTATGGTATTTAACTTTTTAGGGTTTTACCGAATGAAATAATTTAGAAATTTGTAATTTATGTTTAAATTCAAATAATTCACACTAACTTGCTTAAACCCTAACTTTCACGACCCCGCCACCGACATTTGTGAGGAAAGCAATTAACAGCGTTTTAGTTTTGATTCTGATAATTCGAAGGCAGATTTCGTTAATCGCATAAGTTGTTCGAAATTGTCGAACTGGGTAGCCGCCGCTTTAGCTTATACTAGTTAATGAACTAATATCTTTACTAACTGGTTTGGATGTTCACAGCAGGGAAAGTCAAGCCAACATGTACACATACGCACACACACACATACATATATATTTACTTAACTCAATAATTTCGCAGCATTTTACATTGCATATATGTAGGCGCTATTTATTTATTTATCGTTTAACCCTCATGTAGTCAACAATTGAACGTTTATGTATTTACCCAAATTTGAACGAATCGTTTATAAAGCAGCAGTGCTGGGAAAAAATATTTACAGGAATTGCTGGGCAAACGTTCGTCACGTGTGTTAAAAGTCTCATCATGGATATGGAAGCGTACATTTGCGCGCCTCGGCGAGGATTGGGTATTCTTAGCACTGCTAGGTGTTATAATGGCATTTGTATCGTATGTGGTGGACAAAGGCATCAATGTTTGTACAAATGGTGAGTTTCACAAGTTAGATATAGATATAAATATATACAAAAGAGGCAGCATTCACAAAAAAAAAATTAAATGCCGATTTTTTGCCATAAATCAATTCGTAAGATTTATCTCCAATTAATGTAAATACATATATTTTTCTTCGTGATTATATTTTCTGAATAACGTTTTTAGTTATTAATGGCGTTGAATCTGTACGATTTGAAAAGGCTGTAGTCACTTTGGAAAAAAATCGCTAGTATAGAATTTTTATTACATTACGTATAAATAAACTTATTCGCCTGCAAAACTTGCTCTTTGTTATCCTAAAATTTAATGGGCTACAAAACTGCATACCAGAAATTTTCCTAAAAATTCTGAATAAAAAGTTTAAAAATTTGGTGAAAATTTGTCGAATTTTTAAAAAATATTTAAATAATTTTTAAAAAATATTAAACATAAAATAAACCATGGGTATATAGCCAAAACTCTTCAAAAAAAGGCGAGTCTATTCTAATAACCGCCAGTGTATATATAAATTTTATAGTCTTTAATAATTTTATAATTTTTAATATAAAACGGCCTCAGGCTCAAAAAAATTGCTGTATATAATTCTTTAACAATTTCCCTATCTTTTCCATACAGCACGTGTTTGGTTGTACCGCGATCTCACATCGCAGCCGGTTACGCAGTATTTAGCCTGGGTCTCATTGCCGGTCTGTTTGATACTCTTTTCAGCTGGCTTTGTGCATCTAATAGCGCCGCAAAGTATAGGTGAGTTGGTGGAAAAGTATATTGGTATTGTACTTAAATGTAAATACAAACATTCCTACTTATTAACAATCAGTAATATTTGCATTTGTTTGTAATAATCTTTACGAAAACAACAAAAATTTCACACTTATTAGCTTGCTTGAAATATATGTATAATGAACAAATATTTAAAGTACGTTTTGCCCTACTTTTCTTCACAAGTCCGATCCTCATAATTAGCGATAAGCTATGATTATTTCCCCCCCACTTAAATATACCGAGTATTGCAAACAAGCTAACGTATATAAATGTTATTAATTTTACACTCTATTAACCACCTTGTGGCTCCTTAAGTTTATTTTTGTCATTGAAGTAAAGACAATATTCGATAAGAAGCGCTTCCATAGATTAGTTGTAATTAAATGGCTAACTATTTTTTTTTTTTTTTATTAAACCTTTAATTTACAAGGCATGCACACTAACTTTTGTAGACAGATAAATAGTACTTACTTCCCCATTTTTATTTAAACTTAAATTTCACATTGAAACTATTTGTTTGATTTTCGTACTTACTTACTTTACTTCAATGGTGTAACTAACGGTACTAACCTACAAAAATATTGTTTAGAAGCTGAGTGATGAATGTGCCGCAAGTAAATTTCTACAGAGGAGCAATCGAAGAATCAAAACAAAAAAATTTTTATAGATGCAGAATTTATTGTCTTAGTTTGTTTGAAATGTATAATAATATATATTTAATTATAGTAAATACCAAATTTTTGAACTTGAAAGAAGCATAGATTTTAAGCCTTAGTAGCTCTATACTAATTAGTGTAAACGCTCTGAGCAGTTGGGTCTCTCGGTCAAAGTATGAAACCGTATTCAAGGAGTGCCAGTTACTGTTGAAAATCTGTCAATGAATTCCAGGGAGCGAAAGTAATCGTTAAATATTAAAATTTTGACATAATTTCCGATGGCATATCTGTCAAAAAAGCTGCAAATGACTTTGAAGTCGACTTTATTTCGACTATGAATATGCCACACTATTTTTATTTTTTCGAACAAAAAATTATCGTATTTTTGGATTTTTATTTTTTTCGATTATTTTTAACCGTTAACGATAAAAATTGAATGCAAAACTCAAAGAATAACGGTAAATTTGTATCGCAAAAATATAAATCCAATTTGAACGGTTAAATTGTGTGTTTTGTTATAAAGATCATAATCGTTATGGTCACTGAGTTATTTAAATACATTACATTTTAGCGGTTGTCCAGAACAATTTCTATAAACCATGCAGAAGCATTTTACAACCAATTTGAAACATTAAAAACTGCCATTGAAGAAGCAGTAACAAAAACGAATGTTAAAAATTTTAAGCAGAATAAAATGTGAAAACATGACAAATCTCCCCAAAACCATATAAAGAAACAAAAAATAAAAATAAATAAAAAAGAAAAAAGAAAAAAGTTTACGCCTGGGCACACTACAAACGGGAAACTTTCTTCTTAATATAAACCTTATCCTTTGTCTTAGACTTCGTGTTCATATTCGTTTTTCAACTGAACTTTGTCTTCGTATTCGTATTCGTCTTCGTATTACAATTCGTATCCATGCTCGTATTCGTGTTAGTCCTCTTCGGTTAGTCTTCGTATTTTTCTTCGTGTTATGTATTTCGTATACGTCTTCGTCTTCTTCTTCGTCTTCGTCTTCGCATCAACATTCAACATCTTAATTTTACACCTTATTTATCTAACTAATTTACTTCTACATACTTATTCACAAATATTACCTTTTCTGGGTTCCACAAATGGCATTTCGCCAGACTATTTGCAACAGAAATGCATAAATAAGTAATAGCAACAAATAAGTTTATTACACCTAGTATAATTTGCCCAATTTGCACATTTGGCCCACTTATCCACCATACATATATGTACACATGTATGTAATTGAATTGTATGAATATATTTTTATGGACATTTGTAATAATTTCGTACATATATTTTCGTATATGTATACATGTGTATCAATAATTCCTACCATATAGAAAATGTTGATACAAAATTTGCGCTTTCCAAACCGGCGTAATACATTTTTTTGCATGCATTTGGTACTTTGAGAATGTAAATATTATATTTTACATACATATGTGCATTAGAGTGGTCCGAGAAAAATTTTTTGCGAGATAGGGTTTGGGACACCTTCCAAATTTTTTCTCTTGCCGAAAGAGGTGCTGGTACCAAATTTTATATTTCTAAGTATAAAGTTTAAGGATGCTCATGATGCTCATATTTTACTCTAGAAATATTGTGTACCTACATTAATCAAACAATTCGTTTATCACCCTAAGAAAATTTTAAATTTAAATTATCTAAAAAATATCACAAGCTTTAATTGTCATGTGAACAGTAGCTTTTTATAAGCTACTTTTTTAGCGCATTTAAAGGTCATTGAGCACCGCATATTGGTTTCAGTGGAAAATTAAATGTTGGTATACATATTACAGGTGTCAGAAGGAAAAAACTTAGGGGGTGCCCCGTTTTCTAGGATGACTTTTTTCCCCCATACAAAAATTTAACCGCTCTAATGGACATACATACACATGTATATATAGCAAAAGTAACCGTTGAAAATTGCATTACATTCAGAGCAGGAAATTAAATATGTACATTAGGGTGCATCACTCTCCATACGAAAAAATTCGGTACTATTTTCCATTGAAATTATAAAATTGATTACATTTTAGAATTTTCGACAAAATATTGCGGTAAAATATTAAAATTTATGTGAGCTGGACCAATTTGAAAATACCTCCAAAAATCTCCTAATTGGATTCCGTTGGAAACATTTTGACATTCACTTTTTAAGCTGATTTTATTTGTAAAAAAACTCAATTTTTGGAGCTCCTTCAAATTGGTCCAGCTCACGTACATAAATCTTAATACATATTTTACCGAAATATTTTGCCAATAATCTTAAAATATCTTAAATATACTTGAACTTTGGACACGCTAATGTATTTATCTACTTTGAGATATGTATTTATGCCCACTAATACAATTTTTAGTGCTTGTAAACAGTGGCGGATTTACCGTAAAGGCAACATGGGCAGGTGCCTAGGGCGGCAAAATTTAGGGGCGGTAAAATTTGAGTTGAGTTTTTTTCAAGTTAGCTGCACTGAAAGTAGAAACAAAAATGTAAAAACTACACGGTTCATACATAGCTGTATATTGTAAATATTAGTATCTAAGCGAAAAAATTCTAAAAATTCTACCCCAAATATTACTGCTGTGAAACGAAGTTGCCTTAACTAAACGACACTTGGCCATAATTTGAAAAATATGCTTTCATGTTTTTACTCTTAAATCCCATCTGCATGCATGTTTAACAAAATAAGGATATTTTTTAAGATTTTTTTTTTTTATAAAAATTCAAACTAATAATTCTAACACAGAAAAACTATCCTCTTTTCTCACCAAAATTTACATATTGCATGCAATGCAAAAACGATTAATTCAAATACTTAACACCATAATATGTATGTCTGTATATATGTATAATTTTAGGTTCGGGTATACCTGAAATGAAAACTATACTACGTGGCGTTGCGCTGAAAGAGTATCTTACATTTAAGACATTGGTAGCCAAGGTTGTTGGTTTAACGGCAACTTTGGGCAGTGGTATGCCATTAGGAAAGGAAGTAAGTATCAAAATTGTCGCAACTGCAAAGAGATCAAACAGTGTTCGAGCATTGTCAACTAACAATCCAATAAGTGGTTGACAGCAAACAACACTTGCTCACATTCAAACTGCATAATACATACAAACATTCATATGTAATCATCTATTTATTTAACGCACATATTTTATTTTCTCTATCTCTTGCTTTACTACATACATATGTATATGTAATTATCGCCTGTATGTATTATATTTTTACACGCGCTCGGCTCGTAGGGTCCTTTCTGTCACATAGCAAGTATTGTAGCACAATTATTAAGTAAACTCGTCACATCATTCCAAGGCATCTATGAGAATGAGTCTCGCAATTCGGAAATGTTGGCTGCTGCGTGTGCAGTTGGTGTGGGTTCGTGTTTTGCGGCGCCCGTTGGTGGTAAGTGTAGGCAACATTTTTTAAATCTTATGCAATAAATTTTTTTTTTTTTTTTTGTTTTTGATTCATCTTGTGTATCTTATAGGTGTACTCTTCAGTATTGAGGTAACCACCACATATTTTGCTGTGCGTAATTATTGGCGTGGCTTCTTTGCGGCTGTTTGTGGCGCGACGGTGTTTCGCCTATTAGCGGTGTGGTTTCACAATGCGGACACGGTGCGCGCGATATTCCTTACAAACTTCACCACCGAATTCCCGTTCGATCCGCAGGAATTATTCGTGTTTGCGTTGATGGGGTAAGTGGCGACATATTTACTAGATACCCGAGCAAAAGTATAAAAGGTAATTAAGGGATTACCTTAAAGCCGAAACTAGTAGATGTTTCGAGTTTCCATATTTTTTTTTCAAATAAAATGTCTGTTTGTTCAAACGGTGAAGTCGCAACCACAACGGTTTACCTAAATTCGAAAACTCGTCAAAGAAACTATTCAAAATTGGAAAAAAATGCCGTTTTAGAACTCCCTAATTCTATTTTTTTGAAGGCATAGCCTTCCGTGCTCTATCCTTATTTCTATGTGAAGTGGTCATAATTTCACCTTCCTTATTTACAAAAAAAAAAACAGAAAAATTTAGTGTATTTTGATATATTGCTGGTCTCTCTGTTTATTTTATTTTTAAATGTAATTCATCTATGTATTCATAAACCAAACCAAACTTTTGTAAAGTAAGTTAACAAAGAAAAAAAAAAAATATTTATATAATACAGTGGTCGAAAAAAATTCAGTCGCTCCAATTATTTTTATTTATTTTTTTTAATTTGAGTTATTTTTTTTTTAATATAATTAATTATTTAACAAATATTTGCAATATTTGAAAAAAAAAATCTACAAACTTTCGTAAAAATTTCGAGCTTTTTAACTCGAAAGATTTTAAGTGTGCCGCTTTGTAACCCACTCAATTCCATATGAAAAAAATTATGTTTATTCGTTATATGAAAGCAAATGCGACAAAATTCTAAAAAATCAACGGTAATTTTTGGCGATTGGAAACTTTATTATACTAGAATTGAACGAGCTGAAATTCCCCACAAAAAACGGTCCATTCCCCACGCAAACTGAAAATCCCCGCAAATCGGGGAATTCCCCACGTGTTGGCTTCCCAGGAAAGCACCTAATGTCTTCTCTCCATTCGACATGGTCCACGTTGCTGTGACATATAAAATAATGGGCATGATGAGAAACTTCTAGAGCGTGATTTTTGTTCGTTGAGAGAGGGCTCTGCTTTACAATTGCACCGTGGGCTCAAAATAGTAACTGTTGGCAAAAGTTATTTTACGCTTAATTTCCGGCAACGGTTGTGCGTTGGGCGGAGCAAACAACTCTCATGTTGGACAAGTGCTTCCATTTGCCATTAGCCAGTAAGATATCTTCTAACGATATTTACTTCGTGCCTTATAAGGTGAAGGAATTCTTTTTTCTCTTTGGAGTTCTGCTTTCTTCCTTATTTACCCACTATTGTTGCGCTTCATTATCCATCCCTTTATAAAGTATTAAGTACTGAATGCATCTCCACACCAATTTTGAGGTGAATTTGGGCTATCATAGCGAGAAGCGCAATCCTAATATCACTAGACGTGTTGGTTAGATTCCCCGCTCTACATACCACCTTAGACATAGTTCAATTGCATACTCCTAAGCTTGAAAGAGAGAGCTTACGGTCAAAATGATCCTTGCGCCGACATTAGTTAGTTCAATTTGTGTCGTCCTCCCTGCACTGGTGATGCCCACGCAGACAAGTCGTTGGTGTATTTCTGAACTTGACCTACGAGGAATTCATATTTATTTTTGAAAATTAGCCAGTTTCTAGATGAAATTAGCGCACTGCGTAGAGAATTTTACTAAGTACTCAGAGTGTAAATCAACAAGAACAGTCTATTATATCCTCATATGGCCTTTAAATCAAATGAATCTGCCTGTAGCACATTCTCATTTACTTGAAATTTCTTATCGTCTAGCGTTGTCTCCGGCATTGGTGGAGCTGCCTACGTTTGGGTGCATCGCCGTTATGTACTCTTCATGCGTTCCAACAAGAAGATGAACAAATTCTTGCAGAAAAAGTAAGTGCCAATTCTCACCAGAAGCTTCGTAACGTCACCTGAACTTTGTTTTCCTCCATCAACTGTCTAGTCGGTTTCTCTATCCGGGCTTTCTGGCGCTGCTCGTTTCTACTCTCTCATTTCCGCTAGGCACCGGCCAGTTCATCGCTGGCGAACTGAGCACACACGAACAAGTTACACAGTTGTTTAGTAATTTCACATGGTCACGCGACGATCTCACTGTGGAGCAGGCGGCCATTGTTACACATTGGGTTACTAGTTACACCAATATATTCATCAATCTTTCCATCTATATTGTGTTCACCGTAAGTACGTTAAAAAAAAAAATATATACGCTTATAAATTGCTTCTCCCCTTTTACAGTTTTTCATTTCCATCATCGCCTCCACCATACCAGTGCCTTCGGGTATATTTATACCCGTTTTCAAAATTGGTGCCAGTTTGGGACGTCTCATTGGCGAAAGTATGCATTTGTGGTTTCCGCACGGCGTGCGCTACGGCGGTCGTCTATCGCCCATCATACCCGGCGGTTATGCCGTTGTAGGTGCGGCAGCATTTTCCGGCGCCGTGACGCATACCGTTTCGGTAGCGGTAATCATTTTCGAGATGACCGGCCAGATAACACACGTTGTACCGGTGATGATCGCAGTGTTAATAGCGAACGCCATTGCAGCCCTTCTACAACCGTCCATGTACGACAGTATTATATTGATTAAGAAACTGCCGTATCTGCCCGATCTGCTGCCATCCAGTTCAGCGATGTACAGCATCTATGTGGAGGATTTTATGGTACGAGATGTGAAATACATCTGGCATGGCATTTCGTATCAAAAACTCAAGGAGGTGCTGAAGGCGAACAAAACGCTCCGATCTCTACCGCTGGTCGATAGTCACGAGAATATGATACTGCTCGGTTCCGTACAACGTTATGAATTGATTAAAATGATAGAAAAACATATTGGACGTGAGAAACGCATGGAGGTGGCACAAAAATGGCAAAAGGAAGCGGAAGAACGGTAAGTACGAAATTTTTGGGTGACACTAGTTTGTGCCGAGAAAAATGTAATTTTTTCTCACCCCATCCCCCTTCTAGCGCCCGCGAAGAAGAGAAGAAGAAACAAGAGGCTGAATTGAAAATACGTCGTCCTTCTCGCTTCGAAGTATTGCCCGCTCCCGACATACTTAGTTTGCGGCAAATTGCCAACGATGAAATGTTGCCGCCCAAACAACGCCAAGAATCGCTCAATAATAATTTGGCACCACGAAAATCCATTTTGAAAAAGACAAACTCCTTTAATTTAAAAACATTCGCACCTACCTCACCGCACAGCCCTAACATTACCCCATACACCACCATTACGGGCACAGAGCATCGCATTCGTTCCGCCTTTGAGGCGATCTTCCGTAAATCGAATACTCTGCAGGATGTACACCCGGATCCGGATGCTGGCAGCATATCGCCGGCTGTGAGCGCCAATGAAGTGCCGCATGTACAGCGCGCGCCCAGCATCTCGAAGAAAGTTCAATTGGTATGTAGAAATTGGTTGAAGAAATGCTTTTCCAATAATTCGGTACAAAAAAATTTTGTGCACGCCACTAGTGTGGAATGTGTTTTTTCATGTTTGTTGCTTGTTATTGCTGTTGGTTTTGTTTTGTTTTATGTTCATCATTTGTGATTTGTCGATTTTGAAATTTTGTTTCTGCATGCATTTAAACGAAGCTGTTTAAATTATATTTGTCTGGTATTTACTTTTTCTATGCAAGCAAGCACAAAATACTGTGGAGTCTACAGGACAAGATCGAAAGGTAAAAATTTTCACCAACTAAATTTATTTCATCACTAAAACACCCCTTATGCTTTCTTCGCTCAATAATTTAATGTATCCAATTTCTAAAGACTAGGGACTGTAAACAAAAGTTATTTATATATTATGAAATCAAAATCTGTTTTATTGTTGAATATGATTTCTTTATGAGTTAAAAAGAAAAATCTTCTATTATTTTGAGCAAGGGTTTTTGAGACGTGTAATTTTTATATTTCTAGCATTGATATTATAATGAAATACTTCATGATTAAAGGCTTTAACGAGATTTTTTTCGGAACTGTTTAGCATTTTTCGGAACTTTTCGGTATTGTTCGTGTTTTCTGAAAATATTGCTTTATTTTTTTCGCGATTTTTAAAAACTTGATAACTTTTTTTTAGATTTTTCGGAGCATCTCATGTTTTATTTTCAAAGGTCTTTCGGTATTTAAAATTTTAAATGACTTACGTTTGTTGATATGGAAATGAAGTGACTCGTGATTTTTCGGATTTTTTCGAGACTTCAAAACATCGAGATTTTTTTTCGGAACTGCTCGGAAACTATTTTGCGAGGACTTATGGGCGATTTTTCGTGACAATTTATTGATTTTTTTTTTTGGTTTTCAGTATTATTTTGAGTTTTTCGACAATTTTAGGAGTACTTCGTAAAATATATTTTGGAATTTTTGTGTGGATTTACCGAAGATTTCCAGATTTTCTGACTGTGAAATAAAAAGTGTTGCGATTTATGGGGGTTTGTTGGGGCTTTATGGAGATTTATTTCGGGACCCTTCGCGATTTTTACGGAACCGCTCAAGAACTTTTTTTAATTTTTTCGCGAGTTGTAGAGAGCTTTTGGGAGCTTGAAGCTTTTTTCGAGTGATTTCCCTGGAAGACTTTTCGAGGTTTTTCGGAATACTTGATACTATATTTCTATGCTTCTGGTAATGTAATTTTAAATACTTAAATTATTTGTTTTGCTCTCCAATTAAGCTCTTTAGTTCAGTTGTTTCGGTTAAAGCATACTTTTGCAATTAATTTTTTCTTAACTTTAAATAATGTTTTTATTACAAGCCAACGCCTCCGAGCTCACCGGATAGCATAAAAAACAATAAATTTGTAAGTAAATGGAAAATGTAAATAAATTTTATATTTGACGACTTTTGTTTTTTGTTCTTGGAAAAGTCCCAACTCGCACCTAATTCACCGGTTTTAAAAAAGAAAAACAAGAAACCGAATCATGTTGTAAGTACTAAATAAATAAAGTAAAATTGAAGAGTTTTTTTTTAGAAAGGGATCTAAGTGGGTTTTGAGAACAATAGTAATTATTAATTTAATAAGTACTTACTAAAAACTGGCCCGAAATTAAATAGATTTGTTCTAACTAAATATTGAAACTTTCATATAAAAACAGTCCACTTATTTTCCTTCTGTGCAATTTTCTTAAAATACTTTTTGATTTCAATTAGGCTAAAGTGATAATGATCTTCCATTGAATTTTCCTTTCGGACATATAACCTTTATTCTTTTTTTTGTTGCTTTTAATAAAATTTTTTCTACAAGCCTACACCTTCAAGTTCATTGGAAAGCATGAAAAGCAACAGATTTGTAAGTAATTTAAAAAAAAATTTACAAAAATCATATTTTGAAATTATTTTTTTTGTGCTTCCGAAAGTTTCAACTCGCCCCCAACTCGCCGATACTAACAAAGAAACACACTAAACTGAATAATGTTGTAAGTACCAAAACAAATTTGAAGAGTTGTTGCAAAAGGGTTAAACATACATTAGGGATGTTAATTTTTTAGCTTTTTCCGATCCCGGGATTTAGATATTCATTACTTTTCAAAAACTTAAATCGAAAAAATTGCTGATATATATTTTGAGAAGCTCTCCTACCATAAAATAAATAATAAATAAATGGTTTGAAACCTACTTTTTTATTTAAAGCAGCGTTTTTTATTTTTTCTCTCTGACGGCAGGATTTATTTTAAAGGACTTTGTAAATTACAAGATATGATTAATTCCTAAAATTAGTTAAAAAACTCAATGCAATATAGAATTAAAATATCGGTAACAAATGCAATAGGAAATTTCTTTAGAATGTAAAAAATTTAAATTTTTTGGATTCACAAGGGCGAATAGGTAATTTTTAAGTTGACATAGTTAGAAGAACGAAATTCGAGGATGTAATCGAGTTTATATAAGCCCTTAACATATAATTTTTTCAAAAACAAATATTACGAAATTTCAAGGATATAATTTTAAAATAACATTTTCAATATTTACCAGCCCTTCTGCACCAGAATTTGGAATCTATTTAAATTCCAAAAGATTTCCTCTTTAATTTGATACCCATACTTATTCTCTAAACATATTTATTTCTGTAAATTTTTCAAATAATTTTTGAATTAGTGACGTCAGAGTGAAAAACTAAAAACGCATTTTTACTATATTTGGCCCATGGTTTCGCGAGTATTTTGATTTTTATGTGTAAAATTTACTATCTTATGGTGTTATATGTATAATGAGCTAGACATTTATAAAAAAAATATTAATTATTAAATGAAAAAGAAATATAGCCAATACTGCTCAAGAAAAGGAGTTTCTATTGTTGCCATCAGTCACGAAAATCCCGGGACTATTTGCCAAGAATCCCGGGATTTAAAAAGGTCGGAATCATACATACATGAGTAAAGGCGGTTGATGTGCTTTGATTATGAGTACGTTTTTCTATCTGAAAAAGCCATAGAACCCCTCTTGCACTACATAAACTCTCCAAAAAATTCATGTTTAAAATAAACTTCATTAATAACAATCATCCATAAAAATATTTACTTGAAACAAGCGTCCACGAAGCTTAAGTTCATCACCCGTCCATGCCAAAGTGAGAACAAAATTAGCCAATACAAGATGGGATCAATCTATGCTGCCAGCACCACCAAAAAAAGGTATACTACGAAAGTCACATTCAACCACGGATTGTTCGAATGCCAAAGCAAATGCTGCTATTAGATGGAATACTTTCATGGAAAATACCCAGGCTGCATTGAATTCGAGTGAACCAAAAGTAAAGAATGAAATTAGCTCTTGCTCTTTACACCAAATATTTAGCCATTGCCGGATATCATACCCACAATAGAGAGCTAATTGATATTCATAAGTACATAAGTATTTATATAGCTCGATAAAGGTAAAGCTTAGTAATTTTTAAAGCATTCAAAATCATCAAATTTGATTTACCCAAGTGTTTTCTTCATGCTTTCTTTTTGTGTTGATGTCTTTGGTTTTTTCACACCTAAAATATGTACATAGTTATACGATATTTAGTAGTTAACCTAAACTATAGCGGACATCTCTTTGTGGAACATTTTAAACCCCTAACTACTATCAGAACTGGAAATTTCCTTAAAATCTCTATTACTTACATGGGTAAAATATATTACAATTCTGGTCATCGAATATCAAATATTTTGGGGATAAAACAAATTTTATTAGTAAGGCGGGCAGCGGAGCTTTGCACAATATGGTCTGCCGTAAGCATGCCTACACTAAAGTTTAAGTGTGTCTGCTCAGTCCACAAGAAATGTGGTCCTGCCTTATGCGCCAACTACCGCGGGATCAGCTTTCTAAGTGTCGGCTATAAGTAATTTTTGAGCGTGTTGTGTAAAAAGCGAAAGCCCGCCGTCAGCCAATTGGTTGAGCTTTATCAGTGTGACTTTATACCTAGTAAATCCACCACAGCTTCGTAAGAAATGGAAGGACCCCTACTACTAATAAGCTGATGCTGGAGAAGATAATAGGCCGTATGAATAAAAACTAAGCAATTGCTTTTTCTTAAGATTTCACACCATTTACTTGAATTTATATGATTTTTTATGTATATATTAGGGTGGTTCCTAAAACCAATTGAAAGATTTTGTTTAGGTCTCACTCACGGTCACAGATATCACATAAAAAAATTTGGTCCTGATTGGAGACGGTTAAGGCGTGTCGCACAGGGGCCAAAGTCCAGATACCTCTATAGAGACTCAAAAAATTAAAATTATTATTTTTTTCACCTAATACCCAAAATCGATTACATATACCATAATCGAAGATATCACATATAAATTTTGGTCCCGATTGGAGTCGCTTAAGACGTTTTCAAAGGGTAATTAGAACTTTGACCCCTGTGCGCCACGCCTTAACCGACGCCTATCGAGGCCAAAATTTAAATGCGACAGCTTTCACTGTAGTAGAATCGATTTTGGTATTAGATGAAAAAAATAATTATTTTAATATATTTTGAGTCTCCAGTTTGAGTTGAGTACCCTAGTTTTGCAAAAATGGAAGTGATCTTAATTATTTAATTTTTTTATTTAGGGAAATATATTTCGAATCTCAATTCCATCGAAAAAAGTAAATTTTTTCCAATATAGTTATTACACTGAGCTTTTCACTTTTATGAAAACACACAGTTGAACAAAAAAAATAAAAGAAATGCGGTAAGGAATAATGAAAAGAATTGTTTCAAAACAACTAGGGCTGTGCGATTATTCTATTACTCGAGCAAGTTGGTTAATTAATTATTCGGTTAATCAATTACTCGAGTAATCAAGATTTTGATTACTCAAAACGATCATTAATCGAGTTACTTGAAATATGATCACTCAAAATAAACAATTTTGCTTGTAATAGAGTTTGGTTTGGAAAATGCTTATTTTCTTTTTTACATTCTGTGTATGAAAAAAATTTTTTGTTTTAATTTTTGAAAACAGAAACGTTGTTTTCAAAGTATCAAGGAACTTTAACTACTTTATACATATGTAAAGAGTTGAAATGTTGATTACTCTTTTTACTCGAAATGTTGATTAATCATAAAGCATTTTACTCAAATATTTTTGTTTTTGGTTAATCAGAAATCTTGATTACTCGAGTAACTGAACTTTTGAGTAATCATAATTTCCAATTAATCGAATAATTGAGTTATTTACTTTATGATTAATTAAAATTTTTTTAAGCACAAAAAACGTTTCTCCATATATTGGACCTTTGTAGTGAAAGGGTTAATATGGCGATTAGGGCGAGACAAATGCGAGCGTATAAGACCTTTCTTTATTGCAACATGACTTAATACAAATAGTAATTCTGTGCTTGAAATCCAATCAATTTGTACTATAAAAATTGGGGATAAGTCAAAATTCATCAGAGAACTTATTGTAAAAATTTCTTCATATAGACAGAAGGACCTATATAATAAATAGCCTGTTTTCTCCGATATTATGCCAGTAAAGTAAATCTAAATACGGAATAGAAAGCGCGAAGCAGGGCTGATGATTTTCCAACGGGTCGTTTTCTATAAAAAAAAATCACATAGGATAATTGCTGACCATATGATACATACTATATATTTGATTTTATAGTAATTTTACATAGACATCACTTTTAACGCGGGACTTATAAGTATGTAGATGCGAATTCCTGTTGGATGTTTTATAAACAATAAGTAAACTTTTCATTTATTTAAATATGTTATCTTTGTTTGTAGCTAAAAATATGTTTAAAAATATTTATACATCAAGTATATGTGTATTTCATATTACTTTTGTCTTTGTCCTTCATCCTATGTAAGTTTTGTCAATTTCAATTCTACATATATTCTCACTTTGCAATTCATATGGCTTTTACTAAATTTGTTTGTATTTAAGTTCTATGCCTTGAAATATAATTTGTCACAAGTGCTTCTTTAACAAATCTTTAAATTTTCTTTTGTAGATATATTTGTTTTTAATTACAACTTAAAATATATTTCTTTCTTTTCTATATGCCACACTTCCTACGTTCCCTACACTTCTATCACAAATCAATACTCCCAACAACGTAAATATGTACAAAAAATAAAAAATAAAATAAAAATGCACAACTGTACATAAAACCAGACAATGAGCATGAAAAAGACGAAGTCGGTCACACTGGTAGGTGTCTTATAAATATTTATGTTTAAGTGCAATAAATTCGGCAAGTAAATATTCATAAAAATGTATACAAATAAATAATAGTTAATTGTTTACGCCGCGTAGTATTTTAAACAACGCCGCAACAGTCAACGAGTTAAACAAAAAATAAATAAATACTTCAATAACTCGTATATGCAGCTTTTTTAAAATCAATTTTTTATGCAAATGCAAAATTAATTTAATCGGTTTTACAATTTTCATTTGATTTTTTTTTTTAGCCACGCGAACGTGTCATCGATATGTCGCCGGAAGATCAAAAGAAATGGGAAATGGAAGAAATGTCGAGATCAATCGATCTAGAACAGGCCAATGTAAATATCGATCCATCGCCATTTCAGTTGGTCGAACGCACCTCAATACTCAAAGTGCATTCGCTGTTCTCAATGGTGGGCATAAATCACGCTTATGTGACGAAAATCGGACGTCTTGTGGGTGTTGTGGGACTGAAAGAGGTAAGTTAAATGTAATCCAATAGAAAAAAAAAATCACTAGTGCAGCAATCAAAAATTACATATAGTACATATGCACAACCGCTCATCGACGAGTTGCCTAAATCGCCATAGTGGCAAAAATGAGATTTGGTAACTCTGAGTTCTGGGCACCGAGCTTCATGCATAAAAATCGTAAAATAGTTTTTCCAACAACAAATTTGTAAAATGACAGATAGATGAAATACCGCCTATCAAGTCAATGACCTCTTTTGTTCCCCTGTAAACTTTGAGTGTCGTAAGATAGGCGGTCTAAAATCTAAAATCTAAAGGTGGTAAAAGTTTATATTTTTTTACGGATTCGGGAAGATGTTTGTTTAAGGCGACAAACCTCTAGAAATGGGCGTGGCAGTTAAGTTAACACAATGCAGATTTGATTGCGGTTTTCATAACTCAAATTATTGTAGAGTGCACCCCATAACATAATACTTAAATATTGCGCAATACTCAGAGCTACCATTGTGATTTTTTCCAATTTTTTTTGAAATGGCATATTTTCAAAAACTTATTTTTTTAAATCAAAAAATTTGTATATGGCAAATTTTTCAAGAAAAAAATTTAAAAATATTTTTTTTCGTAGAGAATTTTGATGTGTGTATGTGTGATTTTATCGATAAAAAAGTTTTAATTGCGTATGCATGTTCACTTTGAGCAAATTGTGAGCACTGGTTGGGGAAGTCTTCGGTAGATTGGGCAAATCGCTAATTGGGCCCCAATTGGGCCAAAATTAGAGGCCAATTGGGAAAAACTTTTGGCTCTGATCGGGCAACCTTAAAAAATTTCCAGCAAGGAAATTTTGTCATAATGGGCAACAATTTTTGTGCCCTCAACTGGCACGAAAATCTGCTAGCATCATATAAGTGCATTTTCAGAAAAAAAATCATAACTCGAAAACGACGAATTTTAGCATATTGCTACTCGTACTGAAAATAGTTTATACTATTCCCTAATAGACAAAAAAGTTTGAGAGAAAAAAAAGATGTAGCAATTTGAAAAAAATCAATTTGAAAAAAAAATTTGTTTTTGTTTATAAACAATAATTAATTATTAATAAACAATTACTGAAGTTTAGTTCACTGGATCGATTCAGTAGATCAATATCTGCAATTTAAAAAAAAAATCGTTAGAATCCTTGCTTTTTTGCGGCAGTTATAAACGATTTCATCAAAAGTTGCTATTAAGAGAGGAAAAAAGAACCGTTCGTACTCAAAAAGAAAAAAAATTCATTATTCGTAAAATTCGCATTTCTGAGCAAAGAGAAAAAATACGTGTCTCCTTAAATTGTTCAAGGAACAATCCCTGCGAGTTTTATCGCAAACTTAAATTCACTTTCCCCCGGCCTGGGTGATTTGAGATGGAATGAGCCATACACTAATATCGTTTGTTCCGAAATTTTTTTTTTTTGTAACGCACTGTGAATTGGCCCTAAATGTTTGCGGTTGCAAAGTTGTCTTTCTCGTAACACATCATTACACCAAAGAAAGAAGGCCATATTCCACTAAACTCGATCACATCACTTTCTTTTCTCTTCCAGCTGCGCAAAGCTATTGAAGACATCAATAGCAATAATTTCGTAGTACAAAGTCAGGCAAAAGATGACGTAGAAGCCGATCACCGATCAGCGGCCGAGAAGCCATTGCTAACGCCACCTTTGCCGCCCTCACCGCATGTCACGAGTGACAGAGAGGTGAATACGACAGTGACCTCTATGGATTCGGCGCTGTCACATTCGGATAATTGCTCCGATATTGAAATGGAACACATGAAGGGGGAGAGTAGTGGTGAGGAACAACAACAACAACAACGACAACAGCAGCTGCAGCAACAACCACAACATAACCAACAAATCTACAATACAACAGGGACAAATACGCCAACAACAAATGGCACACCAACAAAATCAACAAATGAGCCATAGCAAATACATACATATTGAACAGGCATACATACATACATACCTAGATACAGACATAAATGAATAGTCCACCTATGTATGTCTAAAGTGATTTTGTTAAAGAAAAGTTAACTGAGCTAAATTGTATTAAATTTAGTAGGTTAGTATTGTATTAAATAATTTTATTGTAGGTAGAAAGAAAAACTAAGCGAGTGATTTTTTTTTAATTTTAGCAATTAATGTATGTATGTAATTGTATTAGGAATTTGTAGCTTTTCGTAACATATATTTTATTTCGTTAATACTTTATTGTTGCTGCTTATGAAAGCAAATTTTTTAAGAACTTTTAAAAAAAGAACTTTAGCACATTTCTGTTGTATGTAGTAAAATATTGATTTTAGTTTTCAAAATGTTTCGATTTCATATACATATTTGTATGACTGCTTTATTACAACTCCTTAGGTTATTCGCTTAGGTTTGAGTAAATAGTTAGAAAACGCGAAATAAAAATATCGGTAGTTCGGTTGCGATTTCGAGACTCGCAAGATTTTCCAAACTTCCAGGTTGTGAAAGTAGCCCTTATAAACGAACCGGCCGCCCAACAGAGAAACGTTTGATTTGGCGACAGCGCGTTTTTGTACATTTTTCGTATCCGGAAACGTAAAGGGTTTTTTTTCCAAATTTACCTTAATTTTAAACTTCAAGTTGGTACTCGGTAATTTTATCAACTGTTGTTGTCCTTTTTAGCTAACTTTTTTGTCTGATAATCGCTGTTTATCAACAGCTGATTCGGGGATTTTTTACTACAAAAAAATATTTTTTTTGTTTTTGTTATTTTATGGCCTTATAACAAGTATATTCAACAATTTCAAGCTCAATAAAAATTCTTGAATACAAAAAAAAAATTTTACTGAAAATTAAAGAATTTTCGGTCGCAGTTAAATTGAACAATTATCGAACAACTGATTGCAAGCCTTCCACCACGATAATTCGATAATTGGTAAACCGATAATAAAACAAATTTACACAAACAAAATACATGGGGAAAATTACCGAACACCGAGTTAACGAATACCAAGCTCTGTCTGAAGACCCCTGATAATTTTAAAATATTCAAACTGAACATTTGAAAACATGTATATTAGGATGGTCCTAAAAATGTCGACATCATTTTGTACAAAATACAGAATAAAGACTTCCATGAAAGTTAAAAAAAATTGCGACCGCGACCAGTGTTTCCAACAAATTTAATTCTTTCTAAAATTTGACATATTTTTGACACTTATTCATATAAATCCGTTAACTCGCTGAGTTACAGCTGATAAAAGTAAAGTTTTTTTGTTTTTTTTTTGGAATTTTTGCGATTTAAAAAAAATAAACTTTTTTTAACTCTATTAACGAACATTTTTTTTTTTTTTTTTTTTTAAATTTTCGCGGATGTTCTACGAACAAAATAAAGGGGTACCCAAGTTGTTGACATGTTTAAGAGCCACCCCAATGCACCAGACGAAACTTATTTGTTTCATAACAATTTTCCATACTTTTCCAGGCATATACACAATGCTGGGAAAACATATCAGAAAAAAGATCGAAAATGGAATCAGAAAACGGATGGAACAACCAATTTGTATATGAAATTGTTTCAATTCTCCGATACGTTTTCAGATAATTTGCTGGCTGGGTATGCTTTTAACATAAGAAACAAATTTTACCTTTTTTTAATTTTAATAATTCTCAGAGCCTTAGAGGCAAAAGTATGCTAAGTGAGCCTTTTTTGTAAACGTAATACGAATTCAGTTGGAATGATGTTAAGAAATTTTAAATTTCCTTTTGGTGCAGAAAAAAAAAAACAGTTGACAGCCTTATTACCGAACTCGAACGGTTACGTTTAAACCGGTCAGAAAATGTTATCTTGCAAATTTTTGAAGCTTTCGAGATATGTAGATAGCAACGTGCGACAAAAACCAAACCTTTTTAAAACACACGAAAAAAATCAATATATTCACAAAACTAGGAGCCAAACATAGTATAACTGCGTTTTTAATTTTTCTCAGGATTTTTAAAAGGACTTTGAAATTTCTAGGATATGATTGAATAAAAAAATTATTTAAAAGATTTGATGCATTGTATATTAACAATATGGGTATCAATTAAAAGCAAAAATTCTGTCGGGTCTTCGAAAAGTTAAAAACCTTATATTTCAAATAATTTTGAACTGATTTTAAAAAAATGTGTATCGTTTCTTTCTTCTGATATGGATAATTGTATACTTCGTATGTAAAAATTTGAGAAAAAACATTTGAAAGGAAAAAATACATTTTCTTAGAAAACAAATATTTAAAAAAAATACTAACCGATTTTTAAAAAAGCCATATCGTCGTAAACGCAATCAAACCTTCTTCTGATATGCGTATTTGTATACTTCGTATATAAAAATTTGAGAAAAACACTTAAAAGTAAAAAATACCTTTTTTTTATAAAAAAAATTTATTTTAAGCAAAAAAATTACAAACTGATTACTAAAAAATTGATATCGTTGTAAAGGATGCCAGAAAATTTATACTTTCGTAAATCCAAAAGTTTTTATTTTTATACACAAATAAAAATTATTAAAAAAAAAATTTTTTTCAATATAAACAATTAAAGTATTTAAACCGGACATCATCAGTTTGTTCTTTTAGAGCGCATACATGGTTCCATAATATATGTATATTGTAACTATCAATATCTTAGAAGTGTAAATTTTTTTTATTTAAGACTAATAAAGTTAGCAGGACGAAATTCGAGGATGTGGTAGTTAACATATTAGTCCTTGACATATATTTTATTCAAAAATAAATATTAGAAATATCCAAGGATATTCAAGAAAGAAGTTTTAAAGACATTTTTCAATACTTATTCGTTCTACAGCATTTTTCCTTTTAATTGATTCCCATATTGTTATTCTACAGTCGCACGGTGTAATAAGGCTGTTACTGCCTTGGAGTCTGTTAAGCGCCAGTTCGTTAGCAGTTCTATTTGGTTAAAGATTTTCATCAAATAAAACAATATATATATTTTTTAAGATAGAAACTCCCATTTCATTTCGTAAACCTGCCAAATACATATGTATATAGTAAAAGAAGAAGAAGAAGAAAGTCCAAACAATATTTAAATACATACATACATATGTATGTATATAGTCTATAAAATTTGTATATATGTTTTAGCAGTTTATTACTATTATAAATACAAATACACACACGTATACATAAACCAAACATTTATAATAAGGCAATATCTACATACATACATACTTTTAAATCTGCAAATATACAATGTATGTACATATGTATATAATTGAAACTGAAACCCAAATGTGAGTAGTATTTAAGTTAATAATTATAAACTTGTAATCGTTTATATAAAACTATTTTACTAGAAAATGTATGTATATGTATCTATCTATAATTTGAGTACATTTATAAAGTAAGAAAACGAAAAAGCAAATCGATTTGCTGAGCGAAATCTAATCTTATGTATCACTGTAATTCTCATGGAATACATACATACATATACTCTTATGTTGATACATTATACATATGTATGTATGAAAAGAACAAAAAATAAACTCTTTAGCACGTTTAAAATTATTTCATTCATCTTTTCTTCGCTTGATTTACCATCACAAGCCAATAACGTGATTTTCAATATAGCAAATTACCAAATAAAATTAATGAATTTAATTTGAATATAGCTGGGCGTGTCATAATTTTGATAAGGATATTTGTACACGAATAAGTATAGTTTGCTCTACATAGTACTTTGCCTACATGGTAAGTATACGTACAGTAGGTGACCAGATTTCTGTGGGCAAATATTGGGATATTTCTGAAGAATCGAGAATGAAAACATACAATTTTGTTTTTAGAATAAAGAGACATAAATAGTATCGTTTAATACACATAAACAAAAAATCAAAGACAAACAAACTTGAAAAATTATCGCCAAAATTTATACATACAATGTATTGCAAGTTTAATAATATAAAGACGTTATTCAAAATTTACGTTTTTGGAGATTTGGATTGATAAGGAGATAAGTTGTTTGTAACAGATGACTGAACTTAAAAAAAAAAAAATTGCCACTATATGTGTATTTTAATCTATCTTTTGGTATACCAACTGTATGAATTGATCAAACCTTGACTGCGCTTTCCCACAAAATTTAATTTTTTAAATAAGTCTTTATATTATTAACCTTCCGATATTTATGCTTGTATTTTTCAAATTCGTAAATTTTTGAAGGAAACAAGTATTATTTTTTATAATTTTACGAAATTCAAGTTTCTATAGTTTCATTCAAGGCGAATTTATATAAGGTGGTGTTACTAGCTCAGCTGATTTTGTGTATGTGTTTCGCTGCACGGCTTCTGATATCAAATTGAAAAATTTTGTTTGAATTTCTACACACACTCTTACACAGATTTTGACAGTTTATGCCGCCAAAGCAAAAACAAAATACATGAAAATTTTTGTTTTTGTACACCTGCTATCACCTTTTATTAATTCGCCTTGGTTTCATTTAAAAAAAAAAAACAACAAACTTAGCAAATAATTATAAAAACCTAAAAGAAAATTAAATCAAGAATGATGGAAACATATATTCTGTGGTCTTTGAGATAACGAAACTGCTGCCACGCCCGAAAAATTGGTTTCGGGCTACACGGAGACTTCCGTTAAATTACAAGAAGTAAACAAGGAAAATCGGGATTTAAGCGGTACAAATATGATTAATCGGGACACTTCCCGACTTTAAAAAAATATTCGGCGGGAAAACTTTCTCAAAATCGGTATTGTCTCGCCAAAATCGGTAGGAATGGTCACCGCAAGTATACGCCTAAGTTTCGTTACTCATAACCGATCATCCTTGGTAAACCTGGGCTCGAATCGTAACATCCGTTCACGGAAGTCTTTTGAATAAAGCCAACATAAAGTTGCTTATTGGTTACCTAACCAGTCGTGATCACCTACGCTCTCATATATATAGGCACCGGATTGACCTCTACACAGAGATGGATTTCCGTCTCCGACGTCGGAGAACATTATGTGTGATTGTCCAACTTTAGCCAAACTAAGACAGCAGCACTTCCGTTCCGCCACAGTCCATGACCTTAAGGTATACCAAGAAACTTTTAATCTTTATTAGGGAGGCTGATAATATCTTGCACCGTTGGGGTTTGGAAGCATCATAAGGATATAAAGATCTTCGAGGTCAAAGCGTACTTTGTTTTGTTGCACCCATTAAATTTCCAGTACAACCCTTCGAATTAAGGA